AGAAAACGGGAGGAGGGAGAGAGGGTGACGTGGCGGGGGGGGGGGGGGGGGGGGGAACGAACCTTACAATTCAGTAGAACCTAACCCAAAATCACGAAGGGGGGAGGGGGGAAAGCAATGAGTTTCCAACCAAAAAGAAACAAAGAAGGAATCAAACAACTGTTCAAGAACTAAACAAAGAACATTGCAATGGAAAGGGACATACCGAAATGAAACAAGAGACTTGCCCTAATAAAGGACAAAATGACGTGCATCAAAGAAAAACAGCCACAAATGATCAAAAACCCCCACCCAAGAGAGAGAGAGATGGGAGATTTTTTTCCTCAGTTAACGGCTTCCTTTTCACAAACCCAAATAAACTCTGACGGAAAAAAATCCACCTGAAACAATCCATAACCGGCACAAACTTGCATTAAACCGAAAAAAACAAAACAAAACACACAGAGAGATACGAAAAGAAACCGCAGGATTTTCTTTTTCTTTACTTTTTTTCTATGCAAAGACTTGTATGAACAACAGTTTTGCGTTATTAATAGCAACTTCTGATAAGCCCTTATAACCCTTTCTTGTCCAATTGCACAGAGAGAGCAATAAGAAAAGGGCAGAAAGTGACGAGAAAGACAATTGACAATAACAAAAAAGAGAAGTCAGAAAGGAAAACATGAGAAACGAAAAGAGGGAGAAAAAAGCACTAAAAGAAGGAGAAGCTCCATGTGGCATGCAATGGAAGAAGGAAGGAATAATCTTTGGTTTTATGTATGCTAAAGATAAAAGTGAAGTTCTCAACAGAAGGAAAATACTCTAAAGGCACACACAAGAAAACTCAGTGCAAAACCAATAGTATTAAAACCAAAATCAACAGCAACGACCTGGTTATCTATCATGTTTCCAAATAGCTTTAAGACTGAAAAGATAATTCCACACATACAAGAACAATAAACCACCAAGAACTATCTAACAAATACACATATCTCTATGATCTATGAAGTACAAAATTAAAAAATTGATCTAGAAAAGTACTCAATACCTTCACTACTTTCATAAACAGGTTAAATAAAGAAAAAAAAAATCTTACCAAGAGGAACAAATACCACATCAAATAAGGCGTACTTTTCATTAAAGGGGCATTTTGATCTATGTTTACATACCTTGCAATCTAATTACCAAAAATGCATGGAAAAAGACTTTTGGATCCTACATGTTAAATGAGCTGATATCAGTAGAGCATATGACTTGCAAACAACAAACATTATATTTTCACGTACCATACAAATTATGAAAGG